AGACACACCTTCCCACTCAACCTGTGCTGCCGCTTCACTTTCTGCTTCCCATTCAACTTGCCCCAATGATTCACCTGACACTTGCACAGCCGACTCAGCTTCCACTTCCACTTCCACTTCCGCTGACGATGCTGCTGCCGCTGCCACTTCCGCCTCCGCTGCCGCCTCCGCTTCCCTCTCATCAACTACGCCTTCACCAACTAATTCAGCATATTCCGTCTCCATCTCACTCACACGCTCAGCCAATCGCTCAGATTCGCCTTCCCCTGCAGTCTCTGAAAGCGCCTCAGACTCGAATCCCACTGGCGCGATGACAGACACACCTTCCCACTCAACCTGTGCTGCCGCTTCACTTTCTGCTTCCCATTCAACTTGCCCCAATGATTCACCTGACACTTGCACAGCCGACTCAGCTTCCACTTCCACTTCCACTTCCGCTGACGATGCTGCTGCCGCTGCCACTTCCGCCTCCGCTGCCGCCTCCGCTTCCCTCTCATCAACTACGCCTTCACCAACTAATTCAGCATATTCCGTCTCCATCTCACTCACACGCTCAGCCAATCGCTCAGATTCGCCTTCCCCTGCAGTCTCTGAAAGCGCCTCAGACTCGAATCCCACTGGCGCGATGACAGACACACCTTCCCACTCAACCTGTGCTGCCGCTTCACTTTCTGCTTCCCATTCAACTTGCCCCAATGATTCACCTGACACTTGCACAGCCGACTCAGCTTCCACTTCCACTTCCACTTCCGCTGACGATGCTGCTGCCGCTGCCACTTCCGCCTCCGCTGCCGCCTCCGCTTCCCTCTCATCAACTACGCCTTCACCAACTAATTCAGCATATTCCGTCTCCATCTCACTCACACGCTCAGCCAATCGCTCAGATTCGCCTTCCCCTGCAGTCTCTGAAAGCGCCTCAGACTCGAATCCCACTGGCGCGATGACAGACACACCTTCCCACTCAACCTGTGCTGCCGCTTCACTTTCTGCTTCCCATTCAACTTGCCCCAATGATTCACCTGACACTTGCACAGCCGACTCAGCTTCCACTTCCACTTCCACTTCCGCTGACGATGCTGCTGCCGCTGCCACTTCCGCCTCCGCTGCCGCCTCCGCTTCCCTCTCATCAACTACGCCTTCACCAACTAATTCAGCATATTCCGTCTCCATCTCACTCACACGCTCAGCCAATCGCTCAGATTCGCCTTCCCCTGCAGTCTCTGAAAGCGCCTCAGACTCGAATCCCACTGGCGCGATGACAGACACACCTTCCCACTCAACCTGTGCTGCCGCTTCACTTTCTGCTTCCCATTCAACTTGCCCCAATGATTCACCTGACACTTGCACAGCCGACTCAGCTTCCACTTCCACTTCCACTTCCGCTGACGATGCTGCTGCCGCTGCCACTTCCGCCTCCGCTGCCGCCTCCGCTTCCCTCTCATCAACTACGCCTTCACCAACTAATTCAGCATATTCCGTCTCCATCTCACTCACACGCTCAGCCAATCGCTCAGATTCGCCTTCCCCTGCAGTCTCTGAAAGCGCCTCAGACTCGAATCCCACTGGCGCGATGACAGACACACCTTCCCACTCAACCTGTGCTGCCGCTTCACTTTCTGCTTCCCATTCAACTTGCCCCAATGATTCACCTGACACTTGCACAGCCGACTCAGCTTCCACTTCCACTTCCACTTCCGCTGACGATGCTGCTGCCGCTGCCACTTCCGCCTCCGCTGCCGCCTCCGCTTCCCTCTCATCAACTACGCCTTCACCAACTAATTCAGCATATTCCGTCTCCATCTCACTCACACGCTCAGCCAATCGCTCAGATTCGCCTTCCCCTGCAGTCTCTGAAAGCGCCTCAGACTCGAATCCCACTGGCGCGATGACAGACACACCTTCCCACTCAACCTGTGCTGCCGCTTCACTTTCTGCTTCCCATTCAACTTGCCCCAATGATTCACCTGACACTTGCACAGCCGACTCAGCTTCCACTTCCACTTCCACTTCCGCTGACGATGCTGCTGCCGCTGCCACTTCCGCCTCCGCTGCCGCCTCCGCTTCCCTCTCATCAACTACGCCTTCACCAACTAATTCAGCATATTCCGTCTCCATCTCACTCACACGCTCAGCCAATCGCTCAGATTCGCCTTCCCCTGCAGTCTCTGAAAGCGCCTCAGACTCGAATCCCACTGGCGCGATGACAGACACACCTTCCCACTCAACCTGTGCTGCCGCTTCACTTTCTGCTTCCCATTCAACTTGCCCCAATGATTCACCTGACACTTGCACAGCCGACTCAGCTTCCACTTCCACTTCCACTTCCGCTGACGATGCTGCTGCCGCTGCCACTTCCGCCTCCGCTGCCGCCTCCGCTTCCCTCTCATCAACTACGCCTTCACCAACTAATTCAGCATATTCCGTCTCCATCTCACTCACACGCTCAGCCAATCGCTCAGATTCGCCTTCCCCTGCAGTCTCTGAAAGCGCCTCAGACTCGAATCCCACTGGCGCGATGACAGACACACCTTCCCACTCAACCTGTGCTGCCGCTTCACTTTCTGCTTCCCATTCAACTTGCCCCAATGATTCACCTGACACTTGCACAGCCGACTCAGCTTCCACTTCCACTTCCACTTCCGCTGACGATGCTGCTGCCGCTGCCACTTCCGCCTCCGCTGCCGCCTCCGCTTCCCTCTCATCAACTACGCCTTCACCAACTAATTCAGCATATTCCGTCTCCATCTCACTCACACGCTCAGCCAATCGCTCAGATTCGCCTTCCCCTGCAGTCTCTGAAAGCGCCTCAGACTCGAATCCCACTGGCGCGATGACAGACACACCTTCCCACTCAACCTGTGCTGCCGCTTCACTTTCTGCTTCCCATTCAACTTGCCCCAATGATTCACCTGACACTTGCACAGCCGACTCAGCTTCCACTTCCACTTCCACTTCCGCTGACGATGCTGCTGCCGCTGCCACTTCCGCCTCCGCTGCCGCCTCCGCTTCCCTCTCATCAACTACGCCTTCACCAACTAATTCAGCATATTCCGTCTCCATCTCACTCACACGCTCAGCCAATCGCTCAGATTCGCCTTCCCCTGCAGTCTCTGAAAGCGCCTCAGACTCGAATCCCACTGGCGCGATGACAGACACACCTTCCCACTCAACCTGTGCTGCCGCTTCACTTTCTGCTTCCCATTCAACTTGCCCCAATGATTCACCTGACACTTGCACAGCCGACTCAGCTTCCACTTCCACTTCCACTTCCGCTGACGATGCTGCTGCCGCTGCCACTTCCGCCTTG